GGACTTGACAAATCGTAAGACAAATAAATACAATCAAAAAATAGCACTCACCGATATCTTCAAGGCGTGGATGAATTTGGTTAGGACTTCACTGTTGTGTTTTGTGACGACCACTTAATATGCAGGAACGTACCGTCACTGTACCACTGTAGACAAGCTGCTTGTTGGCAGGCTTGTTTGTTGGGTTCTACTTGCAAACTGCAAAGTAGGTTATTCTTACCAATTGTATAGTCGTTGGTAAGAGACTGGATACGGACTTCTATCGGCTATGAATTTACTTTCCAAATAAGATAACAGCTAAGATATTAACAACACTTTATTTTCATTCAATAACGGGAGATCTACACTAATCCAAGACGTATATCCAAGACTCTTAGAATATTAGAACGATCCGATCTTCTCCCCAGCTAAAGAATGAATAACCCAAACCCTAACTACACTCCTATTTATCTCACCCCCCAGATGGCCAACATATGAAATATTTCTTTTGTCAAAAGATCCCTTACTGTTCCTTAACCCTAATTGCCGTGCCTGACCGATTCCTTTTCTATACCCCTATAGTTTCCTAATCTCTCAGTGTCTCCTTCCCTGCCGACATGGGATAGGTCTCCTTTGTATACTACCATCTGTTTCTAATTATTTACATAAACACCACACCGATGTTAATTTAAAAGTGTTAAAGATTACAGATTAAAGGCTACCACCCGTGATTACCCCTATTTGATTATTACATGTTGAAGGCTACCCCCCGTGATTCCCTATAGTTTACTTCTGGACTAATGTAGATCTCTTACAACGATTAGCAATATTACAAGCGTCTAGTCGTTCGGGTGGGACAATAAACCAAGGCCCCGTGTGCTACAGGTTGTGCACGTTAATGAAACCTCGACAGTTGGAAATCGAAATTCCACTGTCCTGGCAAAACCTACCCCATTGCACCCTGCATGGCGTTCCCTGTCTTCATAAGTCCACATGGTGCAGAAAAGTTGGACGTTTTTTCTGTGTTTCTGAACTACGACACCAAGCCAACAAATTATTTATCAGTTTATCTAAATCTTGCTTTTATACATCAAATACACTCAAAAACTGAGTGTATTGTTTTATTTCATTTGTACATTTCGTTATGAGTTGATGAACCTCGATTTCAATCATTTTTGTCCTAAACAATAAGTAAACAATTCAAAAAATGTAAGTCTTTGGAGGCTTGTATAGACTTTACTAAAAAAGTAAGCAGTTACAGTATAAATAAATGATGACATAAATACGACGATTACAAGACTAGATAATTTACAAATGAATCTTTTGATTGATAAACATGATGAAGTTTAAAAGATGATCACAATAATACTACAAAATCTCTTAACAAGTAGCCAGATTATAAGGTTCATCACTATCATCTTGATTATTACTATCTTGGACATGATGATTGCAATGACCATTACCTCACGATCCGATATGATCATAGTCTCCTTCTACCTTGATGTCCCCCGATCCGATATGATGATAATTATCATCTGTTATCACATTATTGTTATCATTATCACCAATATGATTGTAATCATCTTCACCATTGGAAGTACCAGGCAATCCGTTAATATGGTTATAATCTGCATCAAGATGATTAGATCTTAGAGACAAATTGTTTCCGATATGATTGTAGTTATCTTCATGTACAGAATGATTGTAAGTTCCGATATGATTATAGTTATCGAGATCTTCTGGTTTTACTTTCAGTTTATCATCTCCGACATGATCATAATTATCAGTTGTTTGGACTTTTGGTTTTCGGACAAATTCTATTTCACCATTACGGTTGTTTATTGTAGTGGGTTTTAGATGTGCAGCAGTGGCTTGTACTCTTGGTTTATTGTCCAGTTCTATTTCATCATATCCACTGGTATCTTTACGATTATTAATTGTTCCAGGACCATCAATAACATCATATTGTGGTGTAACAGTTTGTATAGAAATTTTCTTATCTGTTATTGATTGTGATGTTTGTGACTTTTTCCTTCTGTAAATAGAGTTAATTTATTATTTGTGCCATTACATTTTCCAAGGAAATCACATATCAGAAAGGCAGTCAAACAATATGTTAAAGAAATTTCAATGTGCATTTACTTTTGCGTATCATGTATCATGTATGGTTTTTCATGTTGTCAATTTGACAAGAACGGTATATGCATTAACATTGAATATTGCGAGTCTGAAAATATTTCATAATCTTACCTCTTGTAAAGAAACAGTACCACTACTATAATAATGACTATAATAATAATAGCACCAAATATTCCTCCAACTACAGACCCTAAAATATCAACATCACAGTTCTGTTAAATTATTAATTAAAGGTAAACATATACAGCTTATTTTCATATCCCTATTTCAAC